GGAGGAGCTACAAAGCGCAGAGGGCACCATTTGGAAAGATGGCGGACGGTGACAGACAATTCAACGTAATGGCGGTATGTAAAAACTAAACTTTAAAGATAAACTGAACTTTGAGACGTGTGTAAAATATTTTATTTGAATTTATTAACATATTTGCATATTCTGCAAGGGCTATGTAAACTTATGATCACTACTATATTGTTTGACTACAGTGCGTGCATAATTATTATGCAAGTTGAAATTCTGGTCATTTTTTTTCTAAGCACATTTTACCAAATCCAAACCCCATCAATCTTAATAACTACTATTAATTTTGTATTTAATTATATATAAGTGATATATAATTGTTAACAAAGGCTGGAAGTGAAAAATGCCTTAAACTCAGGTGTGCATAATTATTAAACAGGTTTTCTTTTACAGGTAAAATGCACCAGAAAAGAGATTTAACTCAGACTGAAAAGTCAACAATTATTAAATGCCCATGAGAAATATTCAAAAGTAATTCAATGCAGAAATTGCTCAAATAAATCATGCCTACTGGACAGCGAAATGCTCATTGGGTCAATATGGTCAGAAAAAAAGTAGCTGGAGAAGAAAAGACACATTAACTGTAAACTAATTAAGGTGAAGAATTAGGTGTGAAACCACCAGGAACACTTTAGTCTCCAGTGCTACCCTTTTCCAAAACTGGAACCTACCTGGAGTCTCCAGAAGACAAGGCGTCAGGTTCTCAGGGACTTTGCTAAGATAAACAATCCTGAAACAAGACCCCCACTTAATAAGAAAAACATGCTGTGTGATTATAATTATGAAATACATGAAGACTGATTGTTTGAAAAGGTTTTATGAACAGGTTGAGAGTGATTCCTGAGGTATCGGCACCAGTTCAAGTCAGACAACAGCGGCGGTGGTGAAGGGGTCATGGTGTGAGCTGCTACAACAATGAGCAAGACGGACCTTTCAGGGTTCAAGATCCCAAAAGTTACTGCCAGTTTCTTGATGAAAAATTCTTCAAAAAGAGTGGTACACGTGGATGTGGTGCTGGTCCTTCAAGAGTCATTCTCAACCTAAGTCTATAAAGCCTATAAAAATCAGTCTTCATCTATTTCACAACACTTCAGCGTGTTCTTAAGTGGGGGTCATATTTTAGGATATTTGAATAATACTTTTGAATATTTCTCATGGGCATTTAATAATTGTTGACTTTTCAGTCTGAGTTAAATGTCTTTTCTGGTGCATTTTACCTGTAAAAAAAAACCTGTTTAATAATTATGCACACCTGAGTATAAGGCATTTTTCACTTCCAGCCTTTAACAATTATATATCACTTATATATAATTAAATACAAAATTAATAGTAGTTATTAAGATTGATGTTGTTTGGATTTGGTAAAATGTGCTTAAAAAAATGACCAGAATATCAACTTGCATAATAATTATGCACGTACTGTATAGTTTGTAATTACCTTTCCTGTTTCATAAAAGTGCTTGAGCAGCACTTGACTAATTACATCATTATTGAAATGTCTTATCTTTTTGCACAAAGGACTCGGCAGTGATGAAACAGATTCTGCTGGCCTGTGACTGGGTGGAGGAAAACAGACCCCACTTTGCTGGGAAAGTTCACTTACCACAGATCTTAAGGATGACCGAGGATGATGCCTTGTTGGCCATAATGCGGGACCTATTTATTGACACTATTTTCCATGAAGGTGAAATGGATGAGGACAAAATCCGGGCTCCCTTCCTTTTCACCTTTGAGAGAATTGAAGACAAGGAGTTTTTCTTGCAGGAAATAAATGACAAAATAAAAATTTGTGTCTTGCCTGCATGACCCTCACCTTTAACAAGCTAACTGTCTGATGGGGTTGATCTGGGTAAATATTGTTTTTTAAATTTTGCTTTGTATTGCCTTGTAGTTTTAGGTTTAAACATTTTTTTTAAAAGTTTTGTGGGGAAAAAAAGTGTTCTTGAAACTTGATATTCAAGTGTCTTGTATGTATCCTATTATTGTGTTCCTAGATTGAAGATTGTTAGCCGTACGTTTTGCTAATAAAGGTTAATAGAAATAAAATATATACAGCAACACTTGAGGGCAGTGAAGAATGTGACTCATAAATTGTAAATTAAGTAACACTCCCAGGCTACTAATAAATGTTCCTGCAATGGTTGCCAACACTTGTCCTCTTGTTTTTTCTTTGGTGTGACACGTGGCTGGTTTCAGACCAGTAACCTGGGCAGACAGGTAGGTAGGTTACTTATTACCATTTGATTAAGACAATCACGTGGACTGAGTCCATCCAAAATTATATTCCACTAAATTATATTCACAACTACACTGTTGTGCATATGCTACAATTGCATTTTCATTTTAAGGTGCACCTAAGTGTACATTTAAAAGGAATAAGTTAGAAGACAAACAAATAGGTGATCATTTTATTTATCACACCTGCAAGGGCAACTCAGTTCCCACGTTTAAAAACAAATAGCATATTAGGAGCATACTTTATTACATTAATTATGATTGAGATAAATTCGCAAATAGCCTACATAGCCTTAATGTGGTTGGTAAAAAGAAAGCAGGGGTGCGCAGATAATCTAGTCATACATTAGTAACAGAAACTGCCGAAAAATCACGAAATCATCAAAAATGTTAAAGAAAGGTTAGGCAATATTAGCTATGTCAGCATGTCCAGTTCCATGCAAGTCTTATCCAGAAAACCCGTTTAATAATTATGCACACCTGAGTATAAGGCATTTTTCACTTCCAGCCTTTAACAATTATATATCACTTATATATAATTAAATACAAAATTAATAGTAGTTATTAAGATTGATGTTGTTTGGATTTGGTAAAATGTGCTTAAAAAAATGACCAGAATATCAACTTGCATAATAATTATGCACGTACTGTATAGTTTGTAATTACCTTTCCTGTTTCATAAAAGTGCTTGAGCAGCACTTGACTAATTACATCATTATTGAAATGTCTTATCTTTTTGCACAAAGGACTCGGCAGTGATGAAACAGATTCTGCTGGCCTGTGACTGGGTGGAGGAAAACAGACCCCACTTTGCTGGGAAAGTTCACTTACCACAGATCTTAAGGATGACCGAGGATGATGCCTTGTTGGCCATAATGCGGGACCTATTTATTGACACTATTTTCCATGAAGGTGAAATGGATGAGGACAAAATCCGGGCTCCCTTCCTTTTCACCTTTGAGAGAATTGAAGACAAGGAGTTTTTCTTGCAGGAAATAAATGACAAAATAAAAATTTGTGTCTTGCCTGCATGACCCTCACCTTTAACAAGCTAACTGTCTGATGGGGTTGATCTGTGTTTTTTAAGTTTTTTAAATTTTGCTTTGTATTGCCTTGTAGTTTTAGGTTTAAACATTTTTTTTTAAAGGAAAAAAAGGAAAAAAAGTGTTCTTGAAACTTGATATTCAATTTTGTGTCTTGTATCCTATTATTGTGTTCCTAGATTGAAGATTGTTAGCCGTACGTTTTGCTAATAAAGGTTAATAGAAATAAAATATATACAGCAACACTTGAGGGCAGTGAAGAATGTGACTCATAAATTGTAAATTAAGTAACACTCCCAGGCTACTAATAAATGTTCCTGCAATGGTTGCCAACACTTGTCCTCTTGTTTTTTCTTTGGTGTGACACGTGGCTGGTTTCAGACCAGTAACCTGGGCAGACAGGTAGGTAGGTTACTTATTACCATTTGATTAAGACAATCACGTGGAGTCCATCCAAAATTATATTCCACTAAATTATATTTACAACTACACTGTTGTGCATATGCTACAATTGCATTTTCATTTTAAGGTGGTGTCCTAAGTGTACATTTAAAAGGAATAAGTTAGAAGACAAACAAATAGGTGATCATTTTATTTATCACACCTGCAAGGGCAACTCAGTTCCCACGTTTAAAAACAAATAGCATATTAGGAGCATACTTTATTACATTAATTATGATTGAGATAAATTCGCAAATAGCCTACATAGCCTTAATGTGGTTGGTAAAAAGAAAGCAGGGGTGCGCAGATAATCTAGTCATACATTAGTAACAGAAACTGCCGAAAAATCACGAAATCATCAAAAATGTTAAAGAAAGGTTAGGCAACATTAGCTATGTCAGCATGTCGTTCCATGCAAGTCTTATCCACCTTATTCTTCAACGCGGAAGTAAGCCTATGGGCGAGACTTACGTTCATTAGCCGCTAAAGGGAAATAATGAGATGAATAACACCGTGCAGTAAACGGTAGAACTGCATTACAAACCAGTGTGTTCATAATTAAGATGATACATAAAAATAATATGGTAATAAACCCCAGTTTGCAATAACAAGCAGCAAAACGAGCTGTTTTGCACAGCTAAAAATAGCTGGAAGCGGATGAGACCGATGTAACCGGATAGTTACTTTGACCCAATCAACAATAATAATAATAAAAATAATAAAAAATAAAAAATTCCCCATTAGGTTAAAGATCCATCTGACGAAGGGCTTGCATTAACTTTAACAGCCACTATGGTAGCGAAATGAGTGTCGCTTTACTAACGTTAGATCCATAAAGGTGGAGCTAGACTAGATCAAAAGAGGTGGAGCTTACGTGTAGCTCCTCCCCGCTGGACGTCTAGCGAGGGGGAGCTACACGTAAGCTCCACCCATTTGCTCTGCACCTACGAGTCAGGTACGTTTTCGCCTGTCCCGATATGAGAGTTAAGGAGAGTTGCCTTCACCAATATGGCGGCGACGTTGACGTGCGGTCGAGCGTCTAGGTATTTATTATGATGTCTATGGTTGAGAACTGTGCTGAGCGTGTTCAACGTCGCTGGTTGCTTAGCAACCTCTGTACACAAAGAAATAAAAAAAGAGTTAACTAAACGTGTGAAGCTAATCGGGTGCTTTGGATGGAAAAAACGATAAAAAGCATCACAAATATAAAACAATGGTAAAGCAAACGATTCAAATCTTTGCCCGTGTGAAACCGACGAAGAACCAGACCGCGGTGAGTGTTTTGCATTTGTGTTCTTTTTTTTTGTTTGTTTTCTTCGAATACACAGTATGTATGTATGTATGTATATACATTTTATATTGCCTTACCTATCTTAAGAGTTAATACTAGTTAAATGCATGTGTTTTCTATCAGGGGCTGCAGTGTTTAATGTCTAATAATTTCTTATAAAAAGAATCTGGTTTAAATCACATGAATACTACTTATAAACCGCTACAAAACACAAACCTTAATGATCTCTGATTATTAGCATTGTTTATATATTTGTTTAACGTTACATCATCTTAGCATGTCTGTAATTTTCTTTAGTCTAATATTTTTGTCTTAGTGATAGAAAATATTAATCATAAAAGAAGGTGATATACCATTCACATGTCTACATTAGCAAGATTAAGTATGCTCATACTTAACACATACTCTTGCAGGAGTACTTTGTGGACTGTGAGGAGCAGGGCGGTAGTTTGGAGTTTGTGGTGCCCAGAGACCTGGCAGATGGTGTTATCAACAATAAGAGGGAAAACTACAAATTCAGGTGATGTGGAGGAAAAATTAGGGAGAAATTTAATATAATTAAATTATAGGGTTGGTTTCCCAAACATGATCTGCATTTAATAATTAATATTCTTGCATGCTTAATGAAGCATCCATTCAGATATGAATGGTGTATTTACTGTGGTGGTCACTATATATAGAAACATGAAAGTGTATTTTTCTCTCTCTGGAACTCTTTTTCAAATTATTCAAATGTTGCATATTTTGGAATTGCACAACAAACATCAATAAGTTTTGTGTAAATCATTTCCATTTATTGCACCAGTATAACAGCAGGATTTTCTCCAGTTGTTAAAAGCTGTAGTCAGAGAGTCTCCATGCCCTGTCAGCTGGCTAGGGTGAATCTCCAATTTACAAGTCTAAGTGCCAGTAACACAGAAGTTTACCAACCACAGAATTTTAAGAGGCAGTCCACATGCTCTTTGCTCATCCCATAATTATGGCATTAAAAGCTAATTCTCATTATTATGTCAAATCTCTTGGGACATTTCCTGTTTAAATAATAATAATAATAATAATAATAATAAAAAATTGCTGGATAAATAACAACATTTTGAAACATTTTTAAATGGAATTAGAGCAGATTTAGTGTTAGTTAAGCGTGTGACCAAAGTATAAGTAAAACCAAAAGTTGTTTTCATTTGTCTTTAAACAACCTATTTCCACTAAAATATTTCTTCACTACAGGTTTCAGAACGTTTTTGACCAAACAGCCAATCAAGAGGAAATCTTTGAGGCCATTGCAAAGCCTGTTGCTGATAAGTGAGTTGACATTTTCTCTTCTCTGAAAATTTCTGCTTGAAAGGCATGCTTGCGCAAGCATACATTTCAAAAATACATGTTTATATTAATTGAGAAAACAATAGATATGTACTGTATACTATTCAAAATGAAGGAAAAAATTATTTAGTATTAGTATATAGTATTATTAATCATTTAAGTATTAAATATATATAAGTATTAAGGAAAAGTATCCTGGTTGACAAAGTCATGAAACATGCCAATAGTTAATGCTGTGGTTCAGTACAGTAACTTCTCAACCATGTTCCGGGAGCTCCCCAACACTGCACATTTGGCATGTCTCCTTTGCCTGACACACCTCTAGGACACCTGCCAATTAATTTTTTTGTAACCACTATGTTTCCAGATCCCTACTATCACTAACGCTCGCAAACCACGTTTCACACTCTATAGGCAGCGCAATCCTAACAACCTGCACACTTTGCCTATGTCTGCTAATACACTGTATCCGATTAAAATCCACATTTGGAAGTGGCTCAGATCGGATGCAAAAAAATCGGATCCCGTGCGGGTTTTTGTGTTTACACTGTGCAACAAATTCCGATCTGTGTCAGATGTGAACGAAAGATCTGATTTTTTGTGCCAGTGTAAACGCAGCCTGAAACTCTGAAGCGCTCAGTCAGAGAGTGTTCGGCGAGTGAAAATATATCTGTGCTAAACTTATACTCAGCCTCCAACTCACACACTGGCGAGTAAAATCTGAGAATTTATTAGCCATTGGCTAATGTTAGACATCATTTAGTCGCTAGAGTGAAGATTTAGTCGCATATGCGAGTGATTTACTCACAATGTAGAGGGTTGAACGCCGTCATTTCACAATACTTTTTAATCTACATTTATAAAATATCGCCAAAGTTTTGCGCAAATCTGTACTGGAAACGCGCCTACACTATGTTTCCATCACACTATTTTAATGCGCATTTTGAAGTATCACCTGAGAAACGAGTGATGGAAACGCCAAATTTAGAATAAAATTGCTTAATTTGTTTTTACGCTCGCTTGAGGTGGTAAAAAGGGTTGATGCGAATAATGGTAGATGGAAATGCATTTTGCAAATAAATTCCTCCAAGCGCATCAAAAAAATCATGTGACTTTGCGCTATGGAACCGCAAAACCTGACTAACCAGCAGACCGATCTCATTCCACAGCATCTGAAATGTTGTTATGGTCATGCGGAAATGCACCAGCAAAGTCTGTCATCAAAGTATTTCTGTATAATTGAAATGTCTTGCACGACTGCGTTCCCAAACAGCAGCATCCATCTCCGAAAGCAATGACCGCATTGTGATTCGTCTGCTCGCTCTGAGGCGCAAATAATTTATTATATATGAAAATTATTATATTCTCCTACTTTTCATAGTGCCAGTTTATCAGGAAGTGACGATTTTGTTCTCTTTGACTTGTTGGATGGAAACGATTCTTGTTCGCAAATGTTTTATATTCCAATATTCCATGATATTCCAATTTTGCGCATAAGTTACATTTGCAACTTTGGATGGAAACCCGGCTACAGGCTGTGTGTGCGGTCTTCCGAATTGGGAATAGCGAACATGCATTATAAACTTATTTCAAATTAGAATCTGTTGGGGAGATAAAATGTGTAAGATAACATTCATGTACTAATAAAAACATCTAAGAATGTATCTTTTATCCTCCAGTACTAAACAGAACCGATAAGGGAGCTCTTATGCGTTGTGGCACAGTTTCTGTTTTGTTCAATGTCTGTCATTTTGAAGCCAAAGTAATGTCATATGTTTTTCTTTAGTATTACTGTCTTTGCCTGACTATCGATCCGACCCTGTAGACGCCATAATCCCACTAGCTCTCTCTCAGCGCGCGCTTTCTATTTTTAATTTTTATTTATTTATTTATTTTTTAATGGTGGGCGTTACGCAGTTGGCTAGAGCAGTGCTGATTGGGGAGAACGGAGGTGCGCTCACTCAATTGGTTAGTAAGAGTGACACTCAAGGCTGGCAGTCATGCATTTGCTCTGGAACAGAGTCATATCGCGTCCACATCGCAGGCTTTGCGATTAGTAAACGCAATGCAACGTCTCAAATCGAGATTGCGGTTCGATTTCGATTAATCGCACAGCCCTAGCGTAAATCCCAAAATCCTTCTGACCTTAATGTGTATCAGTCACTCCTCTCTTCCTTCTCTGCTAATGTCTCCACTGCTAAAAGGACATATTACCATAACAAAATTAACAATTAGTCTAACTCTCGCATGCTCTTTAAAACATTTTCCTCCCTCCTTTGTCCTCCTCCTCCCCCTCTTGCATCAACTCTAATAGCTGACGACTTTGCCACATTTTTCATTAATAAAATTAAAAACATCAGTGCACAATTTTCCACACCACAATCTGTCAAGCACATCTTACCAGCAAACATACACTCATTCACATCCTTATCTTCACTCTCTGAGGCAGAAGTCTCCAAACTCATCCTTTCTAATCATCCTACTACTTGTCCGCTTGATCCTATTCCATCTCATCTCCTTCAAGCCATTTCTCCTGCAGTTGTACCTGCACTCACTCACATCATTAACATATCCCTTCACACTAGTGTTTTTCCCTCAACATTTAGACAGGCTC